TTGTGATTTATAATCATTCGACACATTCTTGATTCATATTCTGTTTATTGATTTCTTTTACTTGTTTGAATCTAATCGATCAATAGAGTTTTCAACTCATCAGTTATCATGTTATACCTTGATTGATGATATGCTGAGTGTGGGTTGATCTATATGATTATATGATAGCTGTTGAAATACGTAGACCGGTAGATCTGTAAGACTACCTGTGATTTCTGTCTTCATGATTATCTGTATGTTGAGTATGTTTGCTATCTGTTATATGTCGATATATTGTGTTAGGTTGAGACTTTACTGCTATGTGCGAGAGTCAACAGACTGTGGGTATTCTAGTCCGATGACTGAGTGGACCCGAGGTTATTCTTGTCTGATGACTTAGTGGACCTGTTGTATATTGGTATTCCAGTCTGAGACTGAGTGTACATGTTGTATATTGGTATTCTAGTCCGATGACTGAGTGGACCTATTATATATTGGCATTCCAGCCCGATGACTGATCGGGCCAGGGGTAATCCAGCCTGATAGTTGTGGATCGGTGGGTATTCCACTCTGATGACTGATTGGACCCAACATGCTTGTTTGTATGTGATATGTGTATTGTGTGATGGTACTTTATGGGAACTCGCTAAGCCTCGTGCTTACAGCTGTTTGTTATGGTTTCAGGTACTTCAGATGATCAGGGAAAAGTAAAGGCATAATCATACACATCCTTCGGATTTTATGTTATTGGTATTAGGAATACTCTGATTTTGAATAATACTTTTGAAACATTGGTTTTGTAAACACTTTATGGATGAAATGGGTTGTTTTGAAAGGTTAGAATTTATTGTGATTTTTGGGAGGTTACATTATGTGTAAGAGAATCTAGGATGTTTGCATGCTAGTTTCTTATTTGCTTGATGTGAGATGTGTGATACGGCCATGTTAGATTGAGTGTTGTACATGGATATTATGTGATGTGAACATGTCAATTTTGTTTGAAAATATTTTCCTAAGTTGTTTTAGGACAAGCATGCTAGTGTTGTAAAACCATTATTAAAGTGTTGTGTATGAAAGTGGTGTGTGATGTAAAATATAATAATCAAATAATTTTTTTTACATGTTTACATGAAAATGGACCCTTAAAGAGGTAATATGTTAATAAAGGAAAAATCATAATATTTGCATGATTACTTGAAGAGGGTAAAAGTGTAACTCCTTAGTTGATTGATTAATATTAAATTAAAAAAAGGGAATACACTAGCGGGGCGACGGGTAGTAACCTAGACATAGGTATATACCCTATCCGGATTATTGCGGGGACCCGATGGGTTGAACGACACATACGGGAAAAGAGCTTATGCCAAAGCTGCATCAAATGATTTTTCTAGGAGATCATTCGAGACATGGTCCGAACGGTGGGTGTACTGGAGTGATGTTGGTTTAACGGTGGGTCCAACACAAACATCACGTGGGATTGGGAGGTGTAACGCGGTGGAATTGGCACCGTTTGTACCAATTCTTAACGACAACGCATGTATACGTATGTGCAATGTTAGAGTAGCGAAAGCAGCGCATCAGGGGAAATGATTACGAGTGAGAGTCGTGCATCACCTAGTGCATTGGGTCGTGTCGGTCATGTTAGTAGCGAATAGGATACTTGTCTTGGGTTGCGGTGAATGAATTAACCTTAACTATGAAGTATTACTATAATAATTACAGTGATGGGAAGCGGTGAGTAATTATTAAAATAAAGCAGAGATAAATATTACCTAATAATATTTTAGCGGTGAAAAGTTAGAAATTAGTTACAACGTGGTTGAGGAGAGTAACTAATAAAAAGAAGCTCTAAAAGAAGAATAAAATAAATTGAGCTAAACAGTGTTTGATATGCGGTGTGATATTATTATGTCTTGCTTGTGAGTCTTTGATTGTGTGGGAATGTTTTGTGTGATCCATTTATGATATGTGTGTTCTTTTAACATTGTATTGTAATTGACTCACTTAGCTTATGCTAACACTTGTTCTTTGCTTGTTGATTGTTGTGCATTGGAACATGTAGCTTGAGATGATGCCTTGGTGAGGATGAGAACTTTTTGGGTAGTCTTATTTAGTATTTAGATATGATACCATTTGGACATGTTGATTTTTCATCATATTATTTTTTTGAACTTTAGATTTTGATGGGTTTGTTTTGACATAAAAGTAACATTGGTGAAGTTTTTGAAATAGTTATAATAATTCTTCCGCAAAAGTAATCTGTAAAAAAAGTGTTTAAACTAAAAGAAAAAAATTGGGTGAAAAATCACGATGTTACAAGTTGCTAGTCCTTCTCTTTATTGTCTACTTGTGGTGTGTTGGTGTTCATTTCTTCTTTGGGTAGCGTGTTTCTTCTAAGATTGAAATGGTGGCGATGTCAAAAGGAAGTAGGCTATTTGAGGCGATTCTTGTTCTTTAGTGTTGTATTGGATTCTGGTAGCTCATTCGACTTTGACTTGTGTTGTGAGAGTAAGATATAAGGATAAATTTTCGAGGATGAAATCAAATTCAAGTGGGGGAGAGATGTAACATCCAGTTTCGGGATGTATCTTATTTTGGGATTATGGACCGTAATTCGACCATGTAAAGGTCATGGGCTTCAAGGTAATCTAGTTTAGACCCTATTGGATGCTGATGAAGTTGGATAAGTGATATAAAACTTGAATTGTACTTTGGAGCCAAAGGGGTAAAATGGGAAAACTGATATTCCAGAATTCTTGAAGGAATTATGATTTTATTTCAGTGTGCTTTTAGTCATAAGTGATTAAAAAAGAGACTTGGGGTTTGTCAATACCTTCACATGGATATAAAGATCACTGAAATTGGATTTGAAACGAAGAAGTTATGGTTGTTTAAAGTTGGGGCTGCGAAGTTATCACTTACGTTGAGCGTAGGAAGGTCCCCTACGCTGAGCGTAAGAGGAAATGTTGATCGAGGTTTATAATGACTTACGTTGAACATAGGTTAGGCTATAGTAAGCATAGTCGTAACAGATCAAAACCCTAAATCTAGGGTTGTGATCCCTATTTAAAGGCTCTAACTCCTTGAGATCATCCACATGCTCAACCTCTACCCTCCTAAAGCGTTCCTTTGAAACCCTAACCGCCAATTGTCAGTTTTGGTGCTTTTAGAAAGTTTTTTGTGCTCTTTGAATGAAGAGGGTGTTTGTAGAACCAAGTGGAAAGCATCAAGGTGTGTAGATCTGGGGTTTGCAAGTTAACATCTATATCTGGAAGGTATAAATCTTTCATTTTGATGCTTATCCATGTTAGATCTAGTATGGGTGTGAGTTTTATGCTTTTGTCCCCATAATCTTGGTCCTGGTGAGTATGAATTACTCCAGACCATTTGAATGCCTTCTTCTAATGTTTTTGATGTTATAAAGTCATAAAAATGGGAGCTTGAGCACTCTCATCCATCCATGCATGGTTTCTTGGACAAAAGTTGGTTTTATAGACTTAAGGTTTGTGTTTGTGCTCATTTTAGCCATGTAGAGGGATAAAGTCTTAGACTTTATCCATTAAGATATTCATTTAGATCAGATCTGGAAGTTTGACGGTTTGGCTTTCTATATTAAGAGCTTAATAGAGTTTTTGGGCATCAGGTGTTCTGCGTTGAGCGTAACTTTCTGTACGGTAAGCATAACTCTACGTTAGGCATAAATTGTTGTGCTACGCTGAGCGTAAGTCAACTGAGGGTTGACCATTGACTTTTTGACTGGTTTGACTTTTGGTCAACCATGTTAGGACTTAGTATTGGAAGGGTAAATGGTCTTTTGCCCAAAGGAGGTTTAACTGTGATCCTAGACCTTTTTGGAGTTAGTTATTACCTTAATTGTTAATTAGGGTTTTATTATGTATATGTTTAGCAAGAGGAGACTTTATCGTCGGCTCGAGTATGTGGTTTATCTTATCTTTAGGATTGAGGTGATTCTTCTCACTATACTATGTAGGATGCTAGTTGTCTTTGTGATACTTGTATGGAAGACCAGGGTGTGGCCCTTGGCATATGTATGAAAGACCAAGATTTGGCTCCTGGCAATTATATGAAAGACCAAGATCTTCCCCCTGACAATTATACGTACGTCCATCATCTGGCCCATGGTACTTGTATGTAGGATGATTGTTGTATTTATAATACTTTCGTGGAAGACTAGGGTGTGGCCCTTGGCACTTGTTTGTAAGACCAAGATTTGGCCCTCGGCATTGCAAGGAAAGACCATGATTTGGCCCATGGCAGGAAGTGACTGTAACACTACGACTTGACCCATAGCATGCACTATTTTATGTATGGTATGTGGTAGTTTGGCAAACTCACTACGCTTTGTGATTACGGTTTTTTGGTTAAAATATTTTCAGGTACTTCTAGTTCTAAAGGGAAGGGTCTGGCTTAATTGCACAACATCCCCTGATGGCTTTTTCCGTACTGATTATTATTGTTTTACTCTGATGTTTAAAAGATACATTTTACTATGAATGGCTTAGGAACAAATCCTATATGGATTTGATGGTTTAAAAATGAATTTTTTTCATTGGTATTTTTGGGACGTTACATTGAATATTGTCATGTTCTAGATGGATGACATTTTAGATATTACCATTAATATTTTGATGTTTAAGAAGTACATATATGATATTTTGATATTTAAGAAGGATATATATATATATATATATATATATATATATATATATATATATATATATATATATATATATATATCAAGGTTGCAAAAATCGCTCGACGGTAGCTCGGCGGTGGACTGGGGTCAAGGGATTAATCGGCTAGGCGGGGATTAATCGAGGGATTAATCGGAAACCATTAATTATTAAAAAATTAATAAATATAGCATTAATCCTAATAATATAACATTAATAAATATAAAATTATATCAATTAATAAATTAATAAATATAACATCATAACATGAAACTATGATTACAAAAAACCCCTTTGATCCTTAATACATCACATCTAAATAACTAACTACTGCATTATGAATGTTGAGGGAACAAGAACAGTTTTAGAAGCTTTCTTTCTTGTTTTTTCTCTTGGCTTCTTTGGTTGATTCATTTCAAAGACCTGAAATTGGACACTAACCTTCAATTGGAACCTTAACACATTAAAAACAAATTAACACATTAACAATGAACCAAACATTATCAATCAAATTAACAGTGAACAGGGTGGATAGCTCAAATTACAAAACAACTTAATAGTTAATTAAACAAGGTGAAGTGGTTGGAGGAGAACTCAAATCACAAAATTAAACAAGCAGAAGTGGAGAATTAAACAAGTCGTTGCATGTTCCTTCCAATTAACCCTCCTTATAATCACTAATCATTCAATTAAACAAGGAATGTGAATCAAATTTCACTGAGACAAAATATCAAACAGTTGGTGTGCACATGTTGTGATGGATTCAATTACAATACAAACATCAATTCATTTACATTACCCCGTTACAATACCTGATATATCCATGAACACGGGTTCCATTACAATTTGCATCATGTATTAAAGAACTAACCTGCATCACAGATTCAAGGGGGTTGTGACAATCGAGACACATACCTCACACCTCAGACGAAGAACGAATTGATAAGTGACTTGATAATCGAGACACATACCTCAGATGGTGAATCAAAGTTCCAATTTCCGCCTTCGATCTAGCAGAAAACGGAATCACAGATGGAATGAGTTTGAATTGAATGTGAATCGGAGTTCCCGTGGAATTGAAGATGAATTGGAGTTCTCGTGAGTTTTCGAATTTACCTCAGATGTCCCAATTTCCGACTTTGAATTGAAGGTGAATCAAAATTGTTGTGTCGTCGGAGAAGATGAGTCCACAGCTTGGAGAAGAAAGCAGTCGACGATTTCATGTTTCGAGCGATTTCAATTCGTATGAAAGCAATCAGATTCCCATGCTTCACCGTTGGCATCCCACATCGATGGAGTTGTGAAAAAAAATTAAGGTTACAAGTTTGGCATCCCACATCGCTGGTGGGACAAAAAATGAAGGCAGACATATCTTATAAAAGGAGACTTAGTTTCCTTTACAAAATCAAACCCAAATGCTCAGCGGGCTAATTGGTTCTTTTGAGCTCATGGTTAGCTGGACCGATTTGGCCCAATTAGGAGTCTGAGTTGGACCGATTTAGTCCGATTTGGACTGGTTTTGACCGATATTGACTATGGCCGATTCTTTTACCCTCTAACGCTTATTCGTAAGCGGTTGGAGGCCGCCAAGCGCCTAGGCGCCGATTAATCGGCCGCTTAGGCCGATATTTACAACACATGATATATATATATATTATATATATATATATATATATATATATATAGATATATATTATATATATATATATATATATATATATATATATATATATATATATATATATATTGAAACGTCCCAAAAATACAACCCAAATTTTTTTTTGTTTTAAACATTACTAAAACCCTGAAATCAATCATCAAATAATAAAACCACGAATCGCATGTCTCAAAATGTAAAAGCGAATGTATCCAAATCCACTGATGTCAAAAAATATCAAAAAATATCCGAATAAAAACTCCAGGATAAACTAACGCTGTGGTGGTGTGCATGCCATCTTCCCGAGCTCTTCCCCTTACTAGCGGAAGTACCTGAAACCAAAAACTGAAACTGTAAGCACAAAGCTTAGTGAGCTCCCCCAAACTACCACATACCATACACGAACATATAAAGCAACTACTGGGCCTTGCCCACTGCATCAGACCGAAGTTCGGAAATTGCATCGGACCGAAGTCCGGAACTACCAGGGCCTTGCCCTCTGCATCGGACCATAATCCGGAAACTACATCGGACCGAAGTCTGGAACTAACCAGGGCCTTGCCCTCTGCATCGGACCGAAGTCCAAAAACTGCATCGGACCGAAGTCCGGAACTAACCAGGGCCTTGCCCTCTGCATCGGACCGAAGTCCGGAACTGACTGAACATTGTATAACATAATCATAACTACTAGCATAAACACATATACTGCATACTGCATCAGACCGAAGTCCGGAACACATAACACAAAGACATGCTTGAATCACAAAGACATCAAGCACACTGAACTACTGCATCGGACCGAAGTCCAGAACTACTGCTAACTAAACGGGCCGACATTGTGGCCGTAGAACCGTTCCTACTAGAAGGAAACTCACCTCCTAAGGCTGGCTGCTGAAATGCTGCTCGGGAACTGTCTGACTGCTGCTCCGGTAACTCCCCGGCTACAATTCCCAAAAGACACTTAATCAGACACTGATAACTAATCTTAGGGTAAAATGACTATTTTACCCCCTGGTCAAAGTCACCAATCCGTTGACCTGACTCGTCGAGTTGGGCCGCCAACTCGTCGAGTCCCTATCTTTCCTTCTACTCCCCTTCCCGACTCTACTCGTCGAGTTTGGCGAAGACTCGACGAGTTCTCCTTCTATAATTACATCAAGTCAACCTTTATATGCCTCGCCGAGTTGTATGAACAACTCGTCGAGTCCTCCTTCATCATATGAACACGTCCAGTCTGTGACTCGCCGAGTTGTATGAACAACTCGGCGAGTCTGTTCTTACGGGTAAGGAGATTGCCTTGGACTCGCCGAGTCAGGGCGTAGACGCGTCGAGTCCCTCTACACTCAGATCCATGTCTTAACTCACTGAGTCTTTACTCCACTCACTAACGGACTCGCTACTACCGAGCAGGGAATCTAAGACTCGCGACCCGACTCGCCGAGCCAGAAGAATGACTCGCCGAGTCCTTTGCATGCAGTTTCTATTCAGCCGATTCTAATCAGTTTCGGTGCATCCAATTCATGATCTGGGTTCTCTGGGACAATCTGAACACGGAAAGTTGCTAACTTTACGGTATCTATGATCCAATGAAGCAATAACACTCAAACTTGGCTATAATGGGGGTTACTTGTCTAGAACAAGGCCATGGCTGCCAAAAGGTGGCCTTCTTGAGCTCCTGGAACTCAAGAGATGCTAGATCCGAGATATGGTTTGATTACAAAGCTTCATCACTAGGGATTTGGGGTTTTTGAGCTCAAAACCATCAATTTGGGGACAAACTAGATCTAGCAATACAATAACCACGATGAAAGCTTTATTACCAGAGAGGATGGCCAAAGAGGAGTATAATCTGGATCTACTTCTTCTTCCTTGAGTTCTTCTACCTTTTCCTTCTTCTTCTTTCTCAGCAATGCACCAAGATTCCTTCACAAGGGCAAAATCACTCACACACACTTTAAGGAGGCTAGGGTTTCGGGAATAAGTCTCTGAGAGATGAAGGAGGCTGGTTTGGGGCTATAATGGTGTTTAAATAGGGTA